TGTAATATTTATAGCTTAGAAAATCCGCTATTCTTACCAATATTATATGTTCTATCCTTTAACTGAAACTAAAAAGATGTGAATGATGTAAATAATATCGATCGTGCAAGTAACCAAAAATTTCTTTATGATCCGAAAATGATTGCAGGTTTATCGGAAAATGAATCCATAATATAAAGCGACAATACGATATGAGGTTAAGTACTGTGACTTTATAAAGGTAAAGCAGTCTTTATTTGAAGGACCTAAATACTTACGGTATTTGTATTTCTACCAAATTGTGAGATGATTAGCAGTAATGTTTGTTCGTAAAATACTTAGATCATAAATAATGCTTCTTATTTGCACAATTGAGAAGCACAATGCTTATAACTTACTTAATTTCTTTGTTGGCCATTACAGAAGCGAGTAATCCTGAATCGCAACTACTAGCCTCCTCATGCTCGCCTGATCATTTTCTTTCTACCGCCAGTTGGAAGGACTGAATTTCTTCATATCGTTGCTTATTTGGTCCTTCCACCGAAGATGGAGGCAATGCGGACGGAATCATATATCTTTCCACCCAGCGGTGTCACTGAAATGTTATGGGCTTATCTATGTCAAAGCTGAGCTATAGTTTATGTGGTTCTTTGTTTCAACTAATTTTATGCCGTGTACCAACGCACAAGGCCCATAGATCTTCCGCAGAAATTTTCTTTCGAATGCTCCTAATAATATCATCATTAATTATTGTCAAAGCTTATGCACCATACAGTAGGACAGGCATGATTAGGGAGTTGCTTAAAATTTAAGTAAAATTATATAGTTCATCTACAATATTTAAAATATATATAAAATTAACCCATTGACTACTACGCATCGTTCTTTAAATTGAAGAACTTAAGTAAAAAACTGGTAATGAAGTACATATTTATTTTTAAAAATGTGTTTTAAAAAAAATCTTATAATTAACCTAATTATTATGGACCCATTATTTTATAACGTAGAGATTGTTGACCTCAATAATAACAAGTGCCATTTAAATGCGAGTAATTGATAATTCGTTATCAAGACGTAACTACTCGTCAAAGTTGTGAAAAATTAAAAGTAAATTGTTTATTTTAAAAAAACAAATATTGTTAAATAAAATCTCAAAAGTTAAAAGAGAACTAAAACAATATTGCCAGAAGAGCATGAAAAAATCTTAACTTGTGAATGAAACAGCGGAGTTGCTCTACCTTTCTTTAATAGTCGCTCTTGACTATAATGATTCTCAAATTACTCAAATTTATCACATATAATTATATAAATTTCAATTTCATTTGGTTCTTACTACACCTAATACATTCAATGGAATAGATCCCAACCATTCATTATCTTATCAGCGAAATTCACAAGTATCACGTAAATTCTTCTTGGTATTCAAAATGAATCAAGCAGTTGAGTTCTGGAATACCGCAGCAGTCAGTCAGTTGTGACTTAGTACTGTGCGTGAGCGGTTCGCTTATATTTTAAACGTTCTACAGTTAAACGGCATAATCGTCTTTGCAGTAAAAAATTGTTAATAAAACATTTATAAAGCAATGTGTAGTGCGCGTCTAAATTTTCATACTATCGGCAACACAGTCCTTATTCTAATTATTTTTATTGGATTTTCTGCCGGGCTACGTCCAACCAACTTATTGAAAACTACAGACAATACAACTCGACAAACACCAAGACGTTCACTGCGTCTGCCAAACAGCACATTTCCATTACATTACGACTTACATATAAATACAAGCATACATTTAGAGGATTTTGTCTATATCGGAAATGTGACCATTGACATTGAGATTAGAGAGTCCACAAATGAGATTGTCATGCATGCAAAGAATTTAAGTGATTTCGAGATTATCGTCTATGAGTTACCAAGTGGCGATGTGGTTACAGATCTAACACACTCGTACGATCCATTCAGCCACTTCTTGATTATACATCCTATTCAACGTTACGTTGCCTTCGAGGCGGGTCAACTGTACCGTGTGCAAATCCTCTTCAAGGGGCTTTTACATAGCACAACTTATGGCTTCTATTGGTTTTCCTATAACGACCAAAACAATCGAACTGTGTGAGTATATGAAGCGCGCCTAATCGCCCCATAATTAATGCCTTCGCTTTATCGAAGTGAAAATAAAACAAAAGTGCGACCCATTCGTTTCTTTAAATGAGGAAATTCCCTGTCTGTTGTGAAAGTAATTAACGTTCGAGAGAATGTATATACGTATGTGTATATATGTGGTCTCGCATAGAAAAAATCATACCCAAGAAATTTGTTGCTAAAAGTAAAAAGTTCTGATTTTAAAAATTGTAAAAAAAATCACTGATAAGAGACAGAACAAGGCGTTCACTTTGAACCAGACAGATATAGTGGGTCTGGTGGTTGACTGGTGTTTAATGTGTGCGACTCTGTCTGTCCGCCGCTGACGTTGCGAATGCTATCACAAAAGCGGTGGCATCGCATTATCAACCAAAACAAACATTAAATAATAACAACATTAAATGTCAGCATGTTGTCAATAGCCGCGGTAACAGATAGCGCACACCTCGTGCTCTTATCAATGAAAGTTTGGACGTGTACGAATGTGTTCCGAGGCGGGAAAAATATATAATAAACTTACTTAGATTGTTTTATATTAAAAATAAAAATTTAATTATAAACGTAAATCAAAATAAAAGATTTTTAGATATTTCATATGACTTTCGGGATACAGTGACGGTGGCATTTAATTAAATATGCAATTGAAAGCAGTTAATTGACGTAAAAACTGCTTTTTAACGATTATTTTGGAATTGTGAAAATAATAGCAACAAAAACTAAATTAATAAATTTGAGATATTAGAAAAAACCACCAATTAAAGTTAGTCGTCTAAATTAAAATATTTAATTGAAATAAAATCAATGGTGGTTTCCACAAATCGTGTGATTAGAGACGAGTGCAACGGTTAAAGTGCCAAATATGGAAAAATTAGTTGGAAACTATAAATCTGTTAATTAAATTTAATATTTTTGAAGATCATAGAGGTTAATCTATTTTTAAAAATTTATTTGTTTTTTTCGTAATTTATTATTTTGTAGTAAATATTTGTATAACACACAAAATATAAATAATAATATTTGTAATTTTGTTATTCAAGTCTAATTATTAATTTTACTTGTGTATGATTTATATTAACACTACTTTTAATATTCGAATCGATTAGCATCTTTGACAGTAGAGTAGAAGAAATGGGGTGGAAGCATTTAAGCCTCACTTATAATGAATAATGAATCGCGACGTTTTTCAAATCAAGTTCAATTAGGTCAAATAACAACGACATATACCTCAGTGGTATGAGGTAATAGGATTTCGCGAGTACCGGGGAGTTTTAGCGCCAATTTTATTTTTAGCCATATAGAAAAAAATATAAATATTAATTTTATAATATTAAAAAAATTTAGTTTTTCGGCGCAGATACTGGTGAGACAGATACTTCCAGACTAACTGCCACACAATAAAGTAAGTTTTTGTGGATGTAATTGTCTACCAACAGTTACTTGAGGAATCTAGTTTTTCAGCTGGTGACACAGTCACTTCTAGACCAAGTACCACATCACACAGTAGGTTTTTGAGGAATTTTGCTGCCTCAGGATACTAAAAGCTAAAATTTAGAAAATTTTAACCAAAAAAATCATAACGTATGTGACGTAGTAAATAGCATTTATAAAAGTATAAATATTTCTATAATAATTTCAATAATATAAAAAATAAAACTATTACTTACAATACTTATTTTATTTAAGATAACTTATAATTACAATAAAAAAAATTTTAATTTTTTAAATAATTAGTTTTTTAAATAATATATAATTTTTTAAAATTCTTAATTTTTTTTAATACTATTTTTAAAACAAATAACAGTGACGCAATCACTGAAATTAATTAATAATACATATTGTTTGGCCACACCTTCACTTTAATTTTTTTTTTAATAATGAACTGAACCATCCACTAATCCCATCATTTACTCTTTCTTCTACCTATGTTATTCTTCTAATTCTAAGTAGATTCGAAATAGTTGTGGGTTTTTACGTACGTAAGTTTTGGGTTTTTAATGATAAAGTAAACAAATTGCAATTGCTGTGTATTTTCTTAAATATTCATGTGAATTACATGTGTGATTTCCAAAGATCAAATCATTTTTATCTTGGTTTCAAATTGAAAAAGCAACTGACCGCACATGTTTAATTGATACTTCCAGCACACCTTTGTGCGAGATTCCCTTTCACAGATTTTTGCTTTGAGTTTTGCAATAAATTTCTGAAATTTATGTTTTGCAGTTACCAAGCAGCAACACAATGTGAACCGACCAGTGCACGTTTGGCCTTTCCATGCTATGACGAACCAGCATTCAAGTCGAATTTTACAATACACCTCACACACAGCGATATCTACACGTCCATCTCCAATATGCCGGTGCGGCAGTTGATACGACATGAGTATGTGAAGCAATTATCTAAATCTAAAGTCACTCTAAAGTTTTTTAATTGAATTTCAGTGAAAGTAATTTGGTTACAACAAGTTTCTATCCTACACCGCCGATGTCCACTTATCTGGTGGCATTTGTCATCTCGAATTTCGAATACATATCGGAAGAATATCGTAATGTAACACAACGCATTTTTACTTCGCCCACAATAGAGGATAAAGGACACAATGCACTGAAGAATGCTGTGCGTGTGGTAGCCCAGCTGGAGGACTACTTTGGCATTAAGTATTCATTGTCAAAACTGGATCACATTGCATTGAACAAAAACTACGGTGCTGCCATGGAAAATTGGGGTTTAATTACTTATAAAGAGGATACGTTGGTACATCAAAATGATGCTGATGTACATAAAAAACTAAAGGACATTCTAACACAGAACCATGAAATTGTACATCAATGGTTCGGTAATTTAGTTTCGCCCGAATGGTGGACGTACGCTTGGATTAATGAGGGCTTTGCTACGTACTTTGCATACATTTTGACAGATTTGGTGAGTTTTGGCGAACATTTGTTATCTATGTATTGTGTGTTTAGTATTGTAGAGATGACCTACTCCAGGATGAAAGCCTTGCACTTGACAGCTATTTAAGATTTGCATTTTAATTGTGGTAAATCGCATGATAAACCGCTTTTAATTAAAGAGGGTTTCATTTTGCGAAAAGAAGTCAAACTCTTATGTGGTATACATAACAAATACTTCAATAAAACTTAATAAAAAAATTTGCATTCCTAAGCTTCGTTAAAAATTTTAAAACAACAAATTAAAGAATTTTACAGTTTCTCAAAGAGTTTAATAGAACTTACCAAAAAACTGCATTCCAAAACTTTCTCAAAAACATCAGTATAAGATCAGTATATAACATCAGTATATAAGATTTCGATTCTACTTACAGTAGAAGTTTTCAATCCATTAGTTTCTTAAAGATTTCAATGGGACTTTGAATTTGGATTTCTAAATATCCTCAAAAATATCAATTTAACTTACTAAGGAGGTTTGCAGTCTCAGACGTCCTCAAAAACTTCAATTCTATTTACAGTAGAGTTCACAGTTCATGAGTTCTTTAATGACTTCAAAACAGCTTACCAAAAAATTTGTGTTTTTAAACTTCCTCAAAGACTTCTATACAACTTATTGGAGCAATTTGCAGTCCCATGCTTTCTCAAATACTTTAATAAAATTTACTGATGAAGATCACACTTCCCTAAAGAATTGAACATAATTTACTAAAAAAGTTTGTAGTTCCAGAGCTCCTTGTAGAATTCAATACAATTTGCTGTAGAAGTTCGCAGACCATGAGTGACTCAAAGATTTCAAGACAACTTAAATTGGAAGTCTGCAGTGCACGACTTCTTTCAGGACTTCAATAGAACTTACCAAGAGATTTGCATTCCTAAATTTTCTCAAAGACTTCTATACAAAATTTCTTACTAAAGAAGATTGCAGTCCTTAACTTCCTCAATGACTTCAATGCAATTTACTTAAATCGGTTGCAAATGAACTAGATTTTTTTTAGTATAGACAACTTTTCATACAAAAATCAAATTAGTTTTTAAATAATGAGAGATGTATATCTGCCAAAACATAAAGGATATCTTATTCTATAATATTGAAAATATGGTTCTCTTCTAGCTCTATCCTGAATATAAAGTGATGGATTTTTTTTTAACCGACATTGCTGAACGTGCGTATGGTTTCAATTTCATATCTGTTCGTCCCATGACGTACTATGTCGAAACTGAGTCAGAGATAATTTCAATATTTGACATAATCTCCTATCAGCGAGCTGCGTGCGTCATTAAAATGTTTCATCACGCATTCGATCAGAAGACCTTCTTACGTGGCATCAATAGATTTCTGCGTAAATAGTAAGTAACAAAACAAAGAGTACAAAATTAAAGTAAAGAATTGGTAATTTACAATTAATTTGAAAAGGTTTTTACCCTTTAAAGTCAGTACACGGTGGCGAATGAGTTAAAACTTTTTGAGGCTCTACAAGCTGAGATTGCAGAGGATGAACAGTTCGGAGCACAAAGCTGGAGTAAATCCATTAGTGATATAATGCTTTCTTGGACACATAGTGAATGGATACCGATTGTAACAGTGAAGCGTAATTATGATGACAATACCATAACAATTACCCAACGTTCAAACGATTTACACTCACAGGAATATTGGTGGATACCTATAAATTTTGCCATTCCTAAGGCTTATGACTTTGAACGTACCAGTGTGGATTATTTTATGCCACCAACAGCTAAAGTAACTTTAAGCATAGAAGATTTGAACTTAGATTTAGAGCGTTATGACTGGTTGATTGTGAATAAGCAGCAGACCGGTTTCTATCACGTTCACTATGATACCCGAAATCTACTTAACATAGCCAAGCAGCTGCAAGCCGATCATAATGTTATACATCCATTAAATAGAGCTGCCATATTTCAGGATCTATGCCCACTAATTGAAAACAATGAACTCGAATCAGTAGATGTTATCTTTGAATTGCTCAAGTACTTGGAACATGAAGAGCATCTCATACCATGGAATTTCGTTGCAGATACTGTGATTTTCTTTGATAAAAATCTTTTTGGCACTGCCGCTCATGCACGCTATAAACAGTTCATACGTCGTATTATAGCACCTATTTTTAAGCAGCTTTTTGGTACGCATGTGAAAGCTAATTTAACCAATACCGACTTACAAACCAGACAGAAGGTGTTGGACATGGCTTGCATGGCAGACTTGAAGGAGTGTTTGGACTTTACGCATGGTATTGCGCACAATTATATGTTTGGACACATCAAGTTGATGGCTGATATGGATTACTATGCCATGCATGACTCAATTTTGTGTTTGGGTCTTAAATATTTAGATGATTCTGAGTTTAATCAGATTATGGACTTGTTGGCTAAGACAGATAAAAAGTCACTCTTCTACGACGATTTGATTTACTCACTTCGTTGCACTCAAAACAAAGCTCATTTGCAGCAGTACCTAGATTTGCTTATTGGTGAACACAACTCAAATAGTATAATGAATGATAGCGATTCAATGATGTACTTCTTTTATTTGTACAAAGTTAATATGGCATCTAGATCGGTGGTATGGCGCTTCTTTGAACAGAACTATAAAAAACTTTGCCATTCACAGTACTTTGCTGAGAACTTCAATCGCATTGCAGAATATATACCGCAAAGGCATCGTGATCAAGTAATTTATTGAAATAAATCTCTTTGAATTTAAATTTTTATTAATTTATTTTTGTTTGCAGTTCATGCAATTACGTCAAGATATTATAGATGAACTACAGACTAACAACATTGGAGAAACAGACACTCTTATAAATACCGACTCGAATCGCATAGGCAAAAGAGTGAAACTAAGTGAAGTTTTCGTGGAAAAATTTCATCGTCAAATACATGATTGGCTCAAACGAGAACAAAATCCTTCAGTATATGCAGCCGCTTCCATTTCTGGAGGTAGCCGGAATCATGCCCCACAATTGAAATTCTCTCTGCATATGGTAACAAAAATATTTAAAAGGATTTTGCAACTCAAACTGTAGTCAAACAAGAACTCTCAACAAAAAGTGCATTTATACTTAAAATTAGTTTATTAAGTAAATTTATGTTATATAATAATATTATATATGGAATTCTGATGAATATTATATATTTGTATAGTTTAAGATTTTAAATGATATAATATAATTTTTTAAAATAGTTATTAATATTTTATTTTTTTGGGTATATTTAAAGAAAATAGATGTTTTGTCAATATTAATAACGGGTGATGATTTGTTGCTAAAATAAACTATATCTTTTTTAGAAAGGTTTATTTATTTCCAGTTGAAAATGTAGTTTGAAGGGCAAGTAAAGAAATTACATACGCGTATTTGACATTAACGCTGTTAAGGGAGCCTAAAAAAATTAAAGAACTATAGAGAAAATAGTATGTATTTAAGAAGAAATTATGATGAATGACACATAATGCGTTTATTTAATATTCCTTTCAAACACCCCCGCGCATAACAGTATTATCCAACCATGTATGAACCAATAACTTCATATTTTATATAGAAAACTTTAAATACATATTAAATTATACATCTTAAATACATCTCAAATTTTCAGAGTCAAACTTATACCTTAATTAATTAATTAATGCAACAACAATGCGTATATTGCAAATGTTTAGAGCTTTGGAAAGCTTTACACTTTGCAAGAGCTTTTTCAACTTATAATTTGTGCAAAAGCTTAAAAATATACTTTTTAATATGTAAAGCTTTTTAATATTATTTCACTTTATTTTTTGGTTACAATAAGTACTTAAATTATATAAGTTGAAATAAATAATTAAATAAATTAATAACTTCATTACAGTATTTGAAATCAATATTTGAACTACATATTTACACCGAAAACTTTTATACCCCAAAAGTATGCAACATTTTAAATGCAATGTTTCTACAGTTTGAGATAGGCATGTCTTTTTGTAACAAAACCTTTAGAATCAAATTGATCTATGGTGTATAAATCCCTAAACTTATTTAAAATTCGTGCAGATCTATTTTTGAAATTAATAAGTAGTATGAATGAAATTTTTATTGTGTGTAATGATTGACAAATAATAATTTAACAGAAACTTCTGCTTGTTTTGACTTCTAATATATTGAGTTATAATTAAACCAACCTAGAAAATGTTAGTAAAGCATTTTAAACATCTTTTAAACCAATTTTCTATAAAAATGTAGACCTTTCCCAGATAAGAATCTCATTACTTTTTAATAGTTATAAGCTCCTGATTATTATATAGCAACATAATGGATAGCTAGTGGATCCTAGTGGATATTGTAATTAGTATAATAAACTAAAATATGTAAATCTGTTTTCAAATGCCGTGGATGCATTATGTATAATATATTTTGATCAAAAGCTTATTAGATATATTAAAAGTAGGAAATCAATATATTACTAACATAATGATATTATTAATAAATTTTTAACTTATGTTAAAAATCATACTATAAATTTTAATAGATAACTTGCCAAAAAATCTAAATATAAAACATAGAAATCATATATGTAGTCATTTACTTATGCCAACTATTAATTGGATTTTATCAAAAAGTAACGACGGTTTCAAAATTTGTCGTGTTGCAACTTTTTTATCAATTCAAGTCTTTTATTGTGTATTGGTTGCACTGCAGGTAATTTATGTGTTAAATATAAGTCAACTACGATGCTTAGCTTTTGTGTGTCGAGGAAATAAGGAAGACATATTACGTTAGTGTGTTTAACCATTTTTTTATATGGCAAAATGTCAAATTAAAGTGTTCCTTTGTTATTTAAAAGAATTTAGTTGTAACAAAGTAATATAAATGTTAACGAAGACCTCCATACTATATCACAGTCACAATTTAGCAGTGTTTAGCAATCACAGTTTAGCAATGTTATACTACTCATTCCAAGTGAAGTTTCTAACATTCTGGCAGCAATATTTATTTCAAAATTTCGTTGTTAATAAATCATTGATCAATGTAGAGTATGACAATACTATGATAACTGATATACTCTATTTTTCAAACAACACCTGAGGACTCTTAAATTACCTCCAGCTCAAAAATCATTCCATCAAAATGTTTTTAACAAAGTGAAGGAAAAACTACTGACCACGCTCAAGATTATATCTAAATGGACTCTTCAATAGTGTTTCTCAAACTGGAAACTAGGTTAATATAAATGCATAATGAATGATATAAAGGGGAAGGAATACACATAAACAATTATACTTTAAATTTTTAACACGTGCCATAATTGAAATATGTATGTAAACTATTAATAAGAATATAAAATATATAAATCAGGTACTTTATGAAGCAAAGTCAACAAATTCAAAAAGACTCTCACAAATATTATAACCAATTTGCTTTCAAGCTTTTATAAAAATTATTTAACTTATTTCATTTTTATGTAATTTCGATTATATAACTGTATGCAAAATTAAAAACAAAGAAAAATCTAAATGACTTTATAAATTGTTGAAGTTTAATTAACTTTTATCTCAGTCTCAATAAATTTTTATATTGCGTATAATAAAAGCATGTTTAATGATAGCAGCTGAATTCAGGTAATTATAAAGTTATAAATACAAATTGTATTTTTATGAAAGATTAAATAATTGCGGATATCGCATAAAAATAAATTTAAAACTAAAGATAAAATTAAAAAAAAATTAAAATGTAAAAAATGTCAAACTGTCTGCTCAAATTGATAATAATTATATCAATAGGCCAGCTATTAATGCCGGTTGGAGATCTATAGCATGAGAATACAGCTAGGACTATTTGGAAATTTGAGGAGTTCTTAAATTATTTGCAAAATATTTTAAATTTATTTTTCAAAAATTTACATAAACGGCATTTTGGTAATATGGTAACAGTCCATTAAATAAAGTCCTCCGTATGTTTGGAATAAAATTATTTGCCCACTTTTGATTCAAATAAATGAACTATAATCTATCTTGTAAGATGAACTTAATATAAGTATTATTATTTTGTAGGGAACACTAAACATCACAACTTAGATGGTTTATTTTGTTAACCTCAGTTACCTTAACCGATCTTTAAGCTTTTTTTGAATCTAAGGTTAAATTTTTTCTCTAATTTTTTATTACTTGATATAAAATAATAAAAACGAATCTAAGCAACGAACAAAGTTAAAAATTAATTGTGTGGACACTATATTCAGAATATGGTTATATACTTTACTACGGAGAAATACCAAAATTTTTTGACCTATAGCTAATGCTGTGTTCCAAACATTGTTCTGCAGTAAGCTGCCCAGCTCTATTTAATAACGTATAGAACTCCGTAAACTAAGTAGTGAACATAACTCTCACTGCAGAAGTTGTGGAAACCCGCGGGAGAAAGAAACAATAATACATTTTCTCTGTGAATGCCCAGCTCTAGCATCCAGAAGATATAGGTTCTTTGGAAAATACTTTTGTGATAGTTTATCAGACTGCTCAATGGTAAGGATGAAAGACCTGTTAAATTACCTAAATTCGGTGGGATGGATTTAGTCTCTACTCTTCTATACTAGGGTTCTTGCGAGGAATGTGGTAACAAAACGGCGAAAAATCGCTAATTGAGGTACATTTGAAGTTATCTTATGACCTGCCACTGCAACCAACCAACCAAGTAGTGAAGTCGAATAATGATAACACTTCATTCGCATTAGTTGACAGCTTAATAGATATATTGTTGGTAAGAAATGTTTCTGGGTTACTGTTCTATAGAAAGAGAATATTTTTTACAAATTAAAAAATATTTTAAATATTTATATATAAAAAAGAAGATAATTATATAATATTTACACATTGAAAATGTAATAAAGGTTTTTTCGTTATTCAATCATATTTAAATATTTTGTAAAAAAAAATATTTTGAATCAGTTTAACTTTTGAATACATTTAAGTACAAAGACATACGGGGTCTCAATTAATTAAGAGACTAAAAATTTATACAAATTAATTTGTAATATTTAAATAAACTGCTTTTATGATACTAGCAATTTTTTGGATAGATGTTTCTTAATACAGTATCAGTGTATTATTAGTGTATTAGTGACACTAAATATTCAAAATGGTGTGCAGTTATTTTATTATTCTCCTGCACTAAGAAATCGTATGTACCGTTGTTTCATATTTATAAATATTATGTTTATATATTTATTTTTAAATATTTTTAATTCTTACAAAAATCAATCCTATAAATATAACTTTCATTGAACTTGAGCACATTAAACCTATTGAATCCTTCGACTTCTATCCTTAAAGCAATATCTCTGTTTCAATTTATTTCTTCCATCTGATTACTTTAGAATCTTCCACTGTTTCTTCTGTTTAAGGGTTATTCTTTTTAGGAACTTTTCCTAATTGTGTGTTTTGTAGGTCTGTGTTGCTCTGTGTTAAGAGAAGGCTTTTGAAAAGATATTGTGAATTAACCATAAATTTTACTTTTTAGTCTTGCTTATAAAATTTGAATTGTTTCTAAAGAATACGTCAAAAACCATATATATATTAAATTTGAATTATATGCTTATCAGGAAGTTATCAATATTTTTCTACATTCTAAGGCCCATAAAAATAATAAATTATACTACAACTTTAATAATCTCTATTACGTGCCTTGAAATACTGAAGAGTTTATTAATTTTCTACACGGTAATTAATATAAACTCACTTATACTTTGGTAATATTCTTTCTTTCTGAGCAGGAAATACATTTAATGGACTTTAAAATAAAAAAATTGATAGGAAATATCACTGGAATCGACTATACTCGGAGCGCGCACATACGAGTATATTTCAATAGAAATTAACAAGTAATTGTGATTAGATTAAAGGCGTTTGTGATTTATTTTATTTTAAAAGTCTGAAAAGCAAAAAAAAATGAATTTATATATAACATTTTTGACAAGATTTATTGTCATAATCACAATACGTAATCAATTATAAAAACTTTACAATCGACGTCTCAAAGATTTTGTCGTGCTTTAATTATTAAAGTATTAAAATTTCAGCAA